AAGTTTCTGCTGTTCCAGTTCATACTGAAGATGTCTCAATCATAACCATTCACGCCAATCTTTCCAAGGCCGTCAAAAATCCTGTTAAGATTACACCAGCTACGAAATCTGTTCCTTTGAAGATAACAATGCCAGGACCTGTCCCCTATATTTCTGAGAAGTCCATACCATGGAACTATGGCGGTGACGTTTACTACCATGGTATCAAACAAATCGAAATAATTGAAGAAAGTTCGGATGATGAAGAAGCCAGCATTAGTAACATTGCAGGCACTAGCAAAATCACCAGGAGCGGGAGAATATTTTCTCCAGAGATTGCCCCTCCAAGAGCAATATTTGGACCCTCATCAGCTGACAAGGTCATCCCTGCACCAATAAAACTCTCTACTAGAACCCCTTTGATTGAGGATGTTGTTGTTCCTAGTGATGTCTCTCCTACCGCTGCTGATAAAGGTAAGGGAATCCAAGATGAGCTCGTCAGGACGAGGGCTCAGCCCTTGGTCATCCCTGAAACCTCCAAGAAGGAAATGGATGAGATCTTAAGGATAATCAAGAGGAGTGATTACGATGTGGTAGAACAGCTGGGGCAAACCCCCTCAAAGATCTCCATGCTGGCACTGCTACTTTGCTCGGAAGCGCACACTAAAGCTCTGATAAAATTCCTGAAGGCAGCCCATGTGCCCCAGGAAACCTCTGCAGATCAGTTTCAGAATTGCGTGGCTAGCCTGACTGCGGACAATGGATTAGGGTTCTCTGATGCCGACTTAACTCCTAAAGGTAGAAACCACAATGATGCTTTGCACATTTCAGTCGAGTGTCGAGGAACTACTCTTGCACATGTCTTGGTTGATACTGGTTCGTCGCTGAATGTTTTGCCTAAGAAGGCCTTGGACCGACTAGATTGTGAAGGGCTGGAATTGAAGCCGAGTGATATTGTTGTCAGAGCTTTCGATGGTTCGAAGAGAATAGTCCATGGAGAGGTTGAAATTCCCATCAAGATAGGCACCGAGGTATTTAAATCTACTTTCTATGTGATGGACATCCGTCCATCATACTCTTGCTTGCTGGGTAGGCCTTAGATACACCATGCCGGGGCAGTCACCTCCTCCTTACATCAGATGTTGAAGTATCCTGTCAAGGGAAAGATCATTACTGTCCATGGTGAAGAAGAGTACATGATTAGCCATTTGAATTGTTTCCGATATGTGGAGGTTGAAGGGGAATTCATTGAAACGCCTTTTCAGCATTTCGAAGAAGTCCTTCCTGAAATAGCAGTAGCAAAGTTGGCAGCTGAGACGCCGAGGCAGATGGACAGGATGGCATCTTTGGAGGACGCAAGGGCCGCAATAAAGGAAGGGAAGAATTCAGCATGGGGGCAGTTACCTGACATTCCACATAAGACAGACAAATTTGGATTAGGGTTCACAGCCGCTGGCCAGAAAGTTATGTGCCGTTCGAAGATTGAAAGAGCGCCAGTCAAAATTTCTCCCTACGGGGTCAACGCTTTGGAAGACGAAGACAAAGAGAGCAACATCGAAGAGTGGATTTATCCAACTGTCAAAGGAGGATTGAGCAACTGGGAGGCAAAAGACTTTGTCCCCATCACTTTTATTCATCGGTAATTTATCTGTTAAACATTTCCTATTTGGTCTGTAATATTTACTTTCAAACAATCTGTACACTATCTTTTCACCTCATGCCTTGCCCGGGGCATGTAGGTCCATTTGTAAGGGTTTTGATTATTTTTTTCATATCCATATGCCATGTTTAATGATTCATTGGACGTTTTTCATTTGACAAACTGCTTGTGTTCATTTTCTTTCCTTTTGCATTTTTGTTTAAGGATGGATATCCCTTACACACACCCACACTCACCAATGCAGGTACCCATCCACTCCGGATTCCATGGGTGACTATACTGCTATATCCTTCAATAACTCTGAAGATCTGGTCAATCAAGCCGAGTATGAAGATGATGAAGGTTGTGAAGTACCAGGGGAACTAGCCAGACTTCTGCAGCATGAGGAAAGGGCCATCTTACCGCACGAAGAGTCATTGGAAACTGTCAACTTGGGGACCGAGGAAGACCGGAAGGAGGTGCAAGTGGGTGCCAATCTGGAACCAAGAGTCAAGGAGCGCCTGGTACAGTTGTTGAATGAGTATTTTGAAATCTTCGCTTGGTCTTATGAAGACATGTCGGGTTTAGACACAGACATCGTGGTTCACCGTCTCCCCACAAGAGAGGACTGCCCACCGATCAAGCAAAAAGTTCTCCGAATGAGGCCTGACATGTCTGAAAAGATCAAGGCAGAAGTAATGAAGCAATTCGACGCTGGCTTTCTGGCTGTTACGTCCTATCCTCAATGGGTCGCTAACATCGTGCCAGTACCTAAGAAAGATGGCAAAGTCAGGATGTGTGTGGACTACCGGGATTTGAATAGGGCCAGCCCCAAAGATGATTTTCCGTTGCCACACATCGACATTTTGATCGACAATACAACTCAGCATAAAGTGTTTTCCTTCATGGATGGATTCTCGGGCTACAATCAAATCAAAATGGCCCCCGAGGATATGGAGAAAACAACTTTTGTCACACAATGGGGCACCTTCTGTTACAAAGTGATGTCGTTTGGGCTGAAGAACGCATGGGCAACTTATCAACGCGCCATGGTCGCTTTATTTCATGATATGATACATCATGAGATTGAAGTTTACGTAGACGATATGATAGCTCGGTCACAAACAGAGGAAGAACACCTTGAACATCTAGAAAAGCTGTTTGCCAGGTTGAAAGAATACAAGCTCAGGCTGAATCCAAGTAAATGCACTTTTGGAGTTAGGTCTGGTAAACTCCTGGGATTCATTGTAAGCAACAAAGGCATTGAAGTCCATCCAGCAAAAGTTAAAGCAATACAAGAAATGCCTTCTCCCCGTACTGAAAAGGAGGTTAGAGGGTTCTTGGGGCGTTTGAACTATATTGCCAGATTCATCTCCTATCTGACTTCTACCTGTGAGCCAATTTTCAAACTCTTGAAGAAAGATCAGGTAGTCAAATGGAACGACGATTGCCAAGCTGCTTTTGATAGAATCAAGGAGTATTTGCTAGAACCTCCTATTCTGATGCCACCCGTCGAAGGAAGACCATTGATCATGTATCTGATCGTCTTGGATAACTCAATGGGGTGTGTTTTGGGCCAGCATGACGAGTCTGGTCGAAAAGAGCATGCTATTTATTACCTTAGCAAAAAGTTTACCGACTGTGAGACTCGCTACTCACTGCTCGAGAAAACTTGCTGCGCTTTGGTATGGGCTGCTCGCCGACTAAGACAGTATATGTTGACTCATACTACCTTGTTGATTTCCAAAATGGACCCTATCAAGTATATATTCGAAAAGCCCGCTTTATCTGGAAGGATAGCTAGATGGCAAACGATCCTAACTGAATATGACATCCAGTACACCACCCAAAAAGCTATCAAAGGGAGTGTACTAGCTGACCATCTGGCTCATCAAGCTATCGAAGATTATCAACCCATGAGATTTGACTTCCCGGACGAGGACATCATGAACTTGGACAACATTGAAAGTGACGGACCGTATGACGGACCCGAAAAGGGATCCCGATGGACCCTGTACTTTGATGGTGCTTCAAATGCACTTGGAAACGGTATCGGTGCGGTACTCATCTCCCCGGAAGGTTGTCACACACCTTTCACGGCCCGACTTTGCTTCAGCTGCACAAACAACATGGCTGAGTATAAAGCTTGCATCTTTGGTCTCAAGGCTTCTATAGACTTGGGGATCAAATGTTTGATCGTATTTGGGGACTCGGCTTTGGTTATCAGTCAAATCAAAGGAGAGTGGGATACCAAGCATCCTAATCTTATCCCATACAAAGAACATGTCCTGACATTGTTGCCTCATTTCGAGCAAATTACCTTCGAGCATTTCCCGCGAGAAGAGAATCAGCTAGCAGATGCTCTAGCCACAATGTCTTCCATGTTTAAACTCAACTGGGATAACGAAGCTCCCCAAATCACCATCGAGCGAATGGATGAACCTGCGCATTGTCATGAGATTAATACCGAAGAAGTAGTGGAACAACCCTGGTTCCATGAAATCAAAAGGTATCTTGAGACTAGAGATTATCCCGAAGGAGCTTCCGTAAATGACAAGAAGTTCTTAAGGAAATTTGCCGCTAAGTTCTTCCTGAGCAACGACATCCTTTACAAACGAAGCCATGATTGTGTGTTACTCCGATGCGTAGACAAAGCTGAAGCAGAGTTGATCATGACTGATATACACAGCGGCACATTTGACACTCACTTGAGCGGGCATACAATGGCTAAGAAGATCCTAAGGGCAGGCTATTACTGGTCTACCATGGAAGCTGACTGCCATTAACATTCCCGTACTTGCCACAAGTGCCAAGTCTATGCGGACAAAGTTCATATCCCTCTGGTTCCTCTCAACGTTCTGACTGCTCCCTGGCCCTTTGCAATGTGGGGCATTGACATGATTGGAGAGATCAAGCCCACGGCTTCCAACGGACATCGCTTCATCCTGGTTGCCATTGACTATTTCACCAAATGGGTCGAAGCAGCTTCCTTCGCCTCTGTTACTAAAAATGTGGTTGCCCGCTTTATCAAGCAAAATCTCATATGCCGGTATGGTGTTCTAGACAGGATCATCACAGACAACGGTACAAATCTGAATAACACGATGATCACTGCATTGTGCGAACAGTTCAAGATTTATCATCACAATTCATCTCCCTATCGGCCAAAGATGAACGGTGCTGTTGAAGTTGCGAACAAAAACATTAAGAAGATCATTCAGAAATGACAGTCATTTACAAAGACTGGCATGAGATGTTACCGTTTGCTCTACATGGATACCGTACGACGGCACGTACTTCAACTGGGGCAACCCCATTTTCTTTGGTATATAGCATGGAAGCTGTTTTTCCTATGGAAGTCCAGATTCCTTCTCTAAGGATTATGAAGGATGCAGGTTTGAATGAAGATGATTGGATGCAGACCCGACTTGATCAACTCAATCTGATCGATGAAAAACGACTCGCTGCTATATGCCATGGTCAGGCGTATCAAAAGCGAATGATCAAGGCCTTCAATAAGAAAGTCAGACGTCAAGTGTATCAAGTCGGAGATCTCGTAATCAAGCGAATTATCTTGCCGCAAAGTGATCCCAGGGGCAAATGGACTCCTACATATGAAGGACCATTTGTGATCAAGAGCATATTTTCTGGTGGTGCAATGATTCTGATCACCATGGACGGCGACGATCTGCCGCACCCTGCAAACGCAGACATAGTCAAAAGATACTACGCATGAAAATAACCCGACAAGTCGAAAACCCGAAAGGGCGGCTTGGGCAAAAATGGGCATCCCGGTGGACCGAAAACCCGAAAATGCGGTTCAGGAAAAAATTAGGGATAAAAACAAAAAAATCTGTACACCCGGCAAGTTGAAAACCCGAAAGGGCGGCTTGGGCAAAAAGTGGTTTCCCGGTGGATCGAAAACCCGAAAGGGCGATTCAGGCAAAAGTTAGGAAATTAAAGCGTATGACTATGTCTCATCGGATCACTTCAAAGACAATCTCTTCATCAACCAGTTCCAGGCTTCTGATCAATCCAGTCATCGGCAAACGAAGCATTGAATGGACAGATATTCAGAGTTGTGAAAGCTATAGCGGAATGGAATCCCATGGAATTATTTCACATAGCCATCCTTTATTTTGTATAAATCTTTCAATATTTACGACAAAATCCTCTTACTAGGATGACTGTCTCCTTTGTACAAATATACTCATAGAAAGTCAATACAAATACTTTTCCCAGAAATTTGTGTCATTTCCTTTTCTTTTCTCTTGTACTATTTGTTTTATTTTGAGAAACGTTCAATGTTTTGTTAAATAGGCATATGCATTTGAACATAATCATTTCCTTACGAATCAAGAAAGAGGATTACTGATAGGTCAAAGGTGCAGTTGGATATCTTGATACCCACTACGCCAAAAACAAGTTTTAACAGCGCCTCTACTAAAGCGCTTATTGAAAAAGCGCTGCCATAGCCTTCACAAAAAACAAAATTAAAAAAAAGGGAAACCTACGAAGGCGCTTTTTTAAAAGCGCTGGCATAGGGTTCCCTACCAAAGCGCTTTTCAGAAAGCGCTTTCATAGGTATTTGAAATATCTAACCTACGAAAGCGCTTTTGAAAAGCGCTTTGGTAGGGAACCCTATGCCAGCGCTTTTGAAAAGCGCTTTGAAAGGGGGACCTACGAAAGCGCTTTTTACCTCAGAAGCGCTTTGAAAGGGGGACCTATGCCAGCGCTTTTTAAAAGCGCTTTCGTAGGTTGTTTTTATAATAAAATTAAAAATCCCTAAATCTTCTTCATTTCTTTCGTTCAGAGCTTCTTCATTTCTTCATTTCTGCCGTCGCCGCCGTTCGTTCCTTCCTCTTCAGTCGCCGTCGCCGCCCTTCGTTCCTTCCTCTTCAGTCGTCGTCGCCGCCGTTCGTTCCTTCCTCTTCAGTCGTCGCCGCCGCCGGTCATTCCGTCTTCTCCACCTTGGTAAGATTATTTGCTTTTATTACATTGTTAATGCTGTTCAAATACATAACTAAATATGTTTTTGTAATATAGTTAATTATGTTTAATGAATATTATGTATTTGAACATTGTTAACCATATAACAAAAGATGAACAATGTATACTGTGTGATGACAAAACCAAATGGGGCTCTTCTACCTAAATTTGCAATGTTGAGCAATTTGAAACTTGGCTTTGTTAGTGTTGAAGTTTTGTTGGGCTTAATTCAAAACGCTCCTGCTCTCAATACTCACTTTTCAAGGTTGGTAATTAGCGTTTTTTAAATTTATTTATTATGCTTTGACCTTTATATCATGTCATATTTAGACTTCGTGTGATTACAAATGATTAGGGAATATTGAAATTCAACCATGAGCTTCTTAACTCTGCTGCTGTGCCAGATTGTTTGACATCCAGTCTCCAAGTTGTGAAATTTGGATATGTCCGTGGATACGAGCATGAGCTTTTATTAGCTAAATATTTAACAACCTATTCAAGCTCTCTTCATCCTTCGTCGTCCTCTCTTCATCAAACTGTAATTTACATTCAGGTGTTGTTTCTTTCCCATTCAATTTCATCTCAACATTGATTCATCATCACCCACTCTAACTACTTTACTTTATTACATTAATTAGGGTTTCGTTCTCAAAGTTTCTTGTTATTACAAAACCCTTCAACAGTTAGCAAGAACGAAACCCAAGGGATTTTGAAGGTTGGCTGTTACTTGTTAGAGGAAAGATCTAAAAGTTCATTTCACTTTTTCCATTTCTTTGGTTTGAGGTAAGAATTCTTACTCATTTTTCTTAGTTTTAGATATTGCATATTAACTGTTTGTGAAATGTTCTACATGATTGTTCCTAATTAAGGGTATGTTAGAGGGTTAGGAAAATGAAGTTGGATTTACGGGTCCTAATTTTAGGTGTATCCAACTTAGAGGAGAGAGTAGAATTCAGACCATCCTATTATGCATGTCTTGCTTCAAAAAAAACATGTTTATGCAAAATCATATTTTAGCTCTTTTTAAGAAACTAGCAAAGGGGAGGGTTGTTTATCAAGTGGCTCAATTAGAAGTTTCAACTCTATGACGGATTTAGAGGTGTATCGGTGTAACAATCATATTCTGAAGAATGCCAATTCAAATGTTAGCAGAACCATTTGGGAGTCCATTACTAGATTGGGGGGAGCAAGTATATTAATTGAATGGTTTAGATTTTATTCTTATAGATAATCATGGGGTGACATTAATCTTCTAGTGAAAGAAAGGAGTAAGGTGATTGGTAATCTCTGGAACAATCTGGATATGAAGAAAATCATGTTAAGGCTCAAGTCAAGACAGTTGTGGCTGGAAAAGGAGATAAGAATTATCGATTCTTCCATAACTCCATGAAGTCCAGGATTAGATGTAATTCTATATCTATGTTGGAGGGGAATGAGGGTAGAGTGGAAGGTGCAAATGATATTAAAGAGGCAATCAAAGTGAATTTTGAGGACTTCTTCAAAGAAACCAAGTTTAATAGATCAGTCCATGAGGATTTAGAATTCAAGAAGTTTAATGCTCATGATAGGAGTTGGTTAGAAATACCTTCACCGTAGAAAAAGTTAAGGAGGTAGTATGGTCCTATGATGGATATAAAAGTGCAGACCCTGGTGATTTCTCGTTAGAGTTTTTTAAACAAAGTTGGGATGCTATTAAGGAGGATGTGTTCAGGTTTGTTTCAGATTTTCACTCTATTGATAAGTTAACCAAAGCTTGTACTACATCTTTCTTGACGCACATCCCAAAGCTAAAAAATCTGCAATCTCTTTCCAAATTCAGACCTATATGTCTTGTTGGTAGCCTTTTTGTCGAGTTTCATAATTAAGCTCAAGACAGAATGTGGATTCCAATTTACCGCAAAATTAGAGGGCATGTTAACTGACATGAAAACCTCTTTAGACACAATGCAGGGCTTTTATGCCCGCCACCCTGAGTTAGGTGATGGTCCTACACTTACTGTGCAGGTTCTAACGACAGGGTCTTGGCCATCTCTTTCTAGTGTGGCATGTAACCTTCCAGTGGAAATGTTGGAACTTTGCGAGAAATTTCAGTCATATTACCTCGGCATTCATACTGGCAGGAGATTGACATGGCAAACTAATATGGGCACAGCAGACTTAAAAGCTACTTTTGGGAAAGGTCAAAGACACGAGTTACACGTCTCAACCTATCAAATGTGTGTTCTCATGCTGTTTAATGATGCCGATAGACTAAGCTACAACGAAATTGAGCAAGTGACTGAGATTCCAGCTTCCGATTTGAAGAGGTGTCTGCAATCTTTGGCTCTGGTTAAGGGAAGAAATGTCCTTAGGAAGGAGCCTATGACTAAAGATGTCAGTGAGGATGATGCATTCTTTTTTAATGACAACTTCAGTAGCAAACTGTATAAGGTAAAAATAGGAACTGTAGTTGCAACAAAGGAATCAGAACCAGAGAAACTGGAAACTCGACAAAAAGTACAAGAGGACCGGAAGTTGCAAATTGACTCGGCAATAGTAAGGATTATGAAAGCTAGGAAGCAACTTGATCATAACAATCTTATAGCTGAGGTCACAAAGCTGTTACAGTCACGATTCCTTGCAAATGTAACTGATGTAAAGAAACGGATTGAGTCTCTTATTGAGCGGGAATTTATGGAGAGAGATAATAGAGACAGAAAGCTTGTTTTATATAGATACTTCAAAGGTTTTAAAGGAAATTCGAAGCATTCAAAGCAACTTTCTATGGTGTGGCTGCGATAGCAAGAGGCCTATCTAGTAGGTTAGTTGGAAAACAGTTTGCAGCAATCATAAATTTTAAGGCTTGCTTAACCCCTGATTATTACAGCAACCAAACATTTGGAAAACAGTTGGAAAACAGTTTACAAACATTTACAAAACAGTTGGAAAACAGTTTACAGCAAAAAGAAATAGAGACAAAAATGAGAGTATGAATGAAACATGAATCAGACCTTAACAATAACATGGTTAGAAATGGGTTGTTGTGAACTTGAAAAGGGTGTTTTCAGTCTTTTAGACCCCATTGGTTTCACAGGTATAGAACTCTTGGAACTGAAACGCTTCTGAATACTACAAAACTTAATAGATTAGGAGATGTTATCAATCACTTATACTTGGACTCAGTTAACACTAGTGGTAGTGGAAATTGGAACACAAAGAAACTCAATAGCCTTTAAGCATGCACCTGTAATTGAACCCAAAGATATGTTCAATAGCCTTTAACCATGCATGTAGATTTTTCTCAGAAATAAAATTACATGAAAACCAACCAGTGATGGTGTGGTTCCTGTATTGCTGCAAGATAAAAATATCAGCAAAAACCTTGAAGTGGTATAAGATACTTTAAAGGGGTCAAGTTGAAGGGTAGACAAAACAAAATAATTACTATGTGATATTTGATTGGTTATTGTAGCTCCAAAAAAAGGAAAAGTTGTTCACAATGATAAATATTGATAACATAGTTGCATACCTATCAAGTCCAGATTTAGTGTCATAGAGCTGCATCGTTGCATACCTAAATAGAGCAATGTGTAATAAAGTAATACCTTTGAATAGTATGAATAGTTAGCCACAATGAAAAGATCCAATGACTCAAGACACAACTGGAAGCCTAAAATAAAGAAGCATCATTGTGAGCCTTATGACACAAAATCTTGTTATAATCAAATTTGAAGCATGAAAAGCCAATTTCAATGATTCAAGGCTGACATATAATCACACCTGCAAGTTTAGATAGATATTTATACAGGAAAAACAAAACTCATATGTAAGGGAAAATCTGTGGGACTAGTTATACAAACAACTGCAATCAGATGTATTAATCACTTTAGTTAAACAAAAACATCTGATTATTACAAAACATCTTTCATACTTTAAGGCTTGAACTTCCTGTATGGTCTGCCGTTATCTTCATCTTGCATATGCTGTAATCATAAATTAAAAAAGTCATGTCTAGGTGCAAAGAAAATCAAGATGAATTGAAAACTATAGAGCGTCATTTAACAATTAACAATACATTGCTTTTAAAATTTGATTTGAACCTAACTAAGACTTGACAAAGCTAACTTGTAAGATAAGGACTGAATATAATTGTTTGAAATCCGACTTCACTATTGTTTGAATATAATTGTTATTACCTGTATCCAAGACTGAATCACTAGTATCCGACTTCACTAGTTAGTAATTAGTGATGAGTTGTTTAGCACATGCTTAAGGTGAGGCAAGAATAACTATGAATTTGATTACCTGATATGTTGAATTTCTTTACAGGTAATTAATTATTATTTTGCTATAGTTGCGTGACTAATTAGTTGCTATAGTCAAACCATGGATAAAAAATGGATGACTGCCAATCGATTGTCGAAAGAGTATGAGGATGGGGTATCAGAATTCGTTAAGTTTGCCGTTGCGCACGCCAGAGAACCCAATGGAATGATATGTCCTTGCTTGAGATGCTGTTATGGGAGACGGGTTGACGCGGTTCAGTTGGAATCGCATTTACTGATGCATGGAATTGATAGAAGTTATGCATGTTGGAATTTGCATGGTGAGAAAAGTAGCGGGAATGTTGAATCGAGTTATAATACGACGTATGCTTCAAATGAGGATTTCGCAGACGCATACGATTATGATCGAGTCGAAGAGATTGCAGAAGCGCTTGAAGAAGATCTTGAGGATTGTCCCAAAATGTTCGAGAGGTTGGTAAGCGATGCAGAGAAACCGTTGTATGATGGTTGTACAAAATTCACAAGATTGTCTGCGGTGTTAAAGTTGTACAACTTAAAGGCGGACAACGGATGGTCGGATAAAAGTTTCACACAGTTATTAGCCCTCGTGAAAGAAATGCTACCAGAGGATAATGTTCTTCCCAATCGAACGTATGAGGCCAAAAAGATGTTGTCCTCTATTGGCATGAGCTATGAAAAGATACATGCATGTCCAAAAGATTGCGTTTTATTTCGAAACGAGTACGCAGTGTTAAATGAGTGTCCTAAATGCGGTGCCCCTCGATATAAGGAAAAGTTGTCTCCGGAAAAGGTGTTATGGTATTTTCCTATAATTCCGAGATTTAGGCGCATGTATCGTAGTGAGACCGAGTCAAGACACTTGACTTGGCATGCAGATGAAAGAATTATTGATGGGAAGTTGCGACATCCGGCAGACTCACCACAGTGGACGAAAGTTGATATTGATTATCCTGAATTTGGAAAAGAAGCAAGAAATCTTCGCTTGTCGTTGTCTACTGATGGAATGAACCCGCATGGTATTCAAAGTATCTCGCATAGCACCTGGCCTGTGATTCTTATGATATATAACCTACCTCCGTGGCTATGTATGAAGCGTAAGTACATGATGCTATCTATGTTAATTTCTGGGCCCAAACAACCAGGGAATGACATAGACGTGTACTTGGCACCCTTAGTCGAAGATTTGAAGTTTTTGTGGGAGACCGGTGTGGAGGTTTACGATGGGTATAGGAAAGAAAGACCTAAAGTTAAAGAGTTTAAAGACTCATGATTGCCATGTTATAATGGAACATTTTCTACCAATAGGTATACGTTCTATTCTGCCAGAAAAAGTAAGGAGCGCAATAACTAAGTTGTGTTTTTTCTTCAAGTCAATATGCAGCAAGGTGATCGATCCTGCGATCTTACCAACATTGCAAAAAGAGGTGGTTGTTACTTTATGTGAGCTTGAAATGTATTTTCCTCCCTCGTTTTTTGACATAATGGTTCATCTAGTCGTTCATCTTGTCAAAGAGACACAGTTGTGCGGACCAGCTTATATGAGATGGATGTACCCTGCTGAACGTTATATGAAAATTTTAAAAGGGTACGTGAAAAACCGAAGTCGACCGGAGGGTTGTATTGCGGAACGATACATTGTTGAAGAAGCGGTTGAGTTTTGCACTGAATATCTGTCAAATGTTCAATCAATTGGACTCCCCAAATCTCATATTGTCGAGAAAAAAGAAGGAAAAAGACTAATTGGAAATAAAGTTGTGACAGTGTCAATGGTCGAACGGGATCAGGTGCATTTGTATGTTCTGCACAATGAGATTGAGGTTGAGCCGTATGCTGAAATGCACAAGGGTGTTCTTCGAGGTTTAAATCTGAATAGAAATGAGAATTGGATAGTACGAGAGCACAATCGAAGTTTCATACCGTGGTTTAAGGAACAAATTTATTCAAAGTATCGTTCGGATCCTGCTTCAGTAACAGAAAGGTTGAGATGTTTAGCATATGGTCCAAGTATGATTGTGTTTTCTTATAGCGCATACGCAATTAATGGATACACATTTTATACCAAAGAACAGGATGATAAAAGTACTATGCAGAATAGTGGTGTTACCTTGGTAGCTGAAGCGATGCACATATCAAGTGCGAATGACTTAAACCCGAAATTTGCAAATCTGTCATATTTTGGGGTTATCGAGCGCATTTTGTTGTTTGATTACGGGAAGTTTCAGATTCCTGTATTTGATTGCAAGTGGGTTGAAAATAATAATGGCGTACGAATGGATAAGTCAGGATTTTTGCAAGTGGATCTCAATAGGG